TTCCGATGATGAGTTCGGTGTTGATGGAAAAAGAAGAAGACGTCCAACTCAGGATTTAATAGACTTTTTGAAAACAACACCACCAAGTGAAAAAACTACTTTTCCCGACTCTGTTAAAGATTCAAATTATAATACTAATGGCAAAAAAATGGAAACTAAAATTAGAAAAATATTCTCAATACTGAAAATGAGATCATCATCTGACGATTCTAATTATTCATCAAGTGGAAACAGTTTAAATTCTGCAAATTCTACTTTCTCCACTTCATCGACATCTACTGCCACTTTGGTTACTAAACAAAGGGCTAGATTTATTAAAATTGAAATTCCACCTCTTCCGCCTCTTCCTCCTAAAGATAATAACGAACAAACTGGCTTTCTTGGTGTTCAAGGGAAAAATACACATCAATTACCTAAAGCAAAATCAACAAGTAATTTGCCACACGTTCCAAGTAAAACAAATCCAGATGATTCTTCTAATTCTCTAACTAAAGTCACAGCTACACTTGATGGCAAACACAACGAGTTACAAGTTAGCAATCCTTCTGCCAAAACGGTTGTTTCAAACAACAATGACAACAATAATAATATTAATGTCAACACTTCTTCATCAAAAGAAATATCTCGTGGAACCAGTTCATCTTCACCACCATCATTATCACCTAAAAAACTTCCTACTCCACCTAAAACTATTAATATCATTAATAATTCTAACAATCAAAATACAACAACAACAACTACAACAACAAATTCAATTCCTGCCATTACCTCCATTAAAACAGATAAGCCACAAGCACTTACACAAAAAGAAAAGACTTTACCACCAAATAAACAAATGAATCCTCAAGAGAAACTAAAGCAACAACAGCAACAAAAATTACCAAAATTATCATCACCGTTACCACCATTGCCACCATTGCCACAGCAGCAGCAACAGCAACAACAGCAACAAAAATTACCAAAGTCATCATCACCGTTACCACCACCATTGCCACAGCAGCATCATCATCATCAACAACAACAACAACAACAGCAACAACAAAAACCAAAACAACAAAAACCACCATATCAATCACATCAATCACAATCATCACAATCATCACAATCACAATCATCACAATCACAATCACAATCACAATCATCACAATCAATACAAAACATCAGTTGAAAATCATTTAATGGTATAGAAAACTTAATATTATGGAAATTAAACCATTGTGAAGATATAAATAATTACCAGTAATGTAACTGATATTATTATTAATGTTATTTTTCAATTGTAAAACATTTCTTTTGTTGATACAGTATATAAATTAAATAAATTAAATATTAAACTATTAAGTAAATAAATAAAATGAATGAATAAAATGAATGTATGGATGAAATGAATGAATGGATGGATGAAATGAATGAATGAATAAATCTTTTTTTTTAAAAAAAAATTATAATCTATAATATACACTAATTAATTTATGCTCCAACTTGTACAAAGTTGTTACCGGCGGTAACGTTATCTATGTAGTCGATTTCCCGTGATTCAACAAATAAAACATCATTATTCTCCTTTTTTTCATTTTGAATTATGTTATTTCTAACAA